AGCAGCAGCAGCAGCAGCAGCAGCAGCAGCAGCAGAGGCTGATGAAGTCGGAAAGCATGCCAGTGCAGCTGAACAAAGGTAAGGGAAGACCGCTAGCAAGTTCAGAGGAAGCGTTCCCGGTGAGCCTGAGGTTTCCTCACCTGCCTCTGAGGAGTCACCACCCTAGGAAGAGAAGTTAATGCACAACTAAATTTTTAAAAATCTGTTATCTTCGATCCTTTTTCAGTTGAAATATCAGATACTATATGGTTCTTAAGGTAATTGGTTAAGGTTCTTTTTTAACATTCAGGCCTTAGGATACTTGCCTCCAAGTCCTGGCTGTGCCCACAGAGTGTGGCGTGGACCATCACAGCGCAGAACTTGAGATCAGTCGACCGTGATCCCTGTGGACTTTGGGTCGTGCTGGTCCCGGGAAAGTTCTGGTGCCGTGGGCTCTGCCAGCCACCCCATAAATCCCTGCACTTGGTTTGGAGGAAGTGTGTCATCAGGCTTATAGTCACCCTTCAGGGACCTCTGAGACATACAACTAGACAAGGGGGGGAAAAGCCAAACAGACTATCTCAAGCAGCCCGAGTAAGTGTCTGAGTCCCTGCACCAAGAGGTGGAAGCTGAGGACGTCAGAGCTGAGGAAGCAGAGACGGTCCCTCCCTGTCTCTCAGTTGCTGCTGCTGGATTGCTGTTGGCGGCTCCCTTGCTGCTGGGACTTGGGGAAGCGCCTTTCCAGGGCTTCACCTCCCCGTGTATTTTATTCAGAAGACAGCCCTTGAGGTTCATACTCAGAACCTTGTTGTCTTCTTTTCCACTTACTTTTAAAGACATCTGTATTAAGTGCCCCTATTCATAGCCAGTTAGAAACAACTACATTTGTTCTTAGGGGTGGGACTCTGTCTATACCGTGGAAGCAAGAACAGTAACACGATGGCGGAAAATCTACAAAAATCAACCCTAAGACCCTGCAAGGCATAGACTCTATGGCCATGAAGTATCAGGGCAAATATCCTGACCCAGGCGTCCTGCGTGTCTTAGAGGGGTCCCGGCATCCCAGCAGTGTTCAGTTCCTGGTGTTGACAATAACAGTAGTAAAACTGAGTCAGTAAGAAGACCTTGACCCCTGTTCCATGTACTCTGCTTAAGAAGGTTGTATCCAAAATTATTAAAAGCTTTAAATTATTGGCATTTAAACTGGCAAACTTAAGTTAGATGGACTCTCTTCCCCAGTGATGGAAAACGATGAGTGTGTTCTTCTGTTATTTGCATCGTCTTATCTACTGTTCCCTCTGGGAGGCATTTGACCTCATGTAATTAGCGTTTAAATTTCTGTGAGAATACTCAGTTTGCCTTACATAAGACTCTTTGCTTTAAATTAACATTCTTTCTTTTTAATATCAAGCTATCACACGTGATTGAAAGAAAAGGAGACTTCGAATCTTCAACGTATTGTAAATGTATTTTAATGCCAGGAGACATTGCCCCACTTCCAGAGTGGAAATGAATGTTATTTTATATAGTTCTTAATTGTACTGTTCGATTGTTCTAAACAAATATGATTGCGGTACTACTTTGATAACAAGTTGTAGTCAGTAGTAATTCTAACTGATGGCAGGCAGATGCGTCAGAGAATCTCAGTGCTGTAGCTTAAATTTTCAGAGGAACCAAGCCAAATGACTCTAGAAATGTAAAGTTGTGTCTCTAAGGAAATGTCAAGTATTAATATCACAGCAAGTGAGGAGAGAAGTGCATGAGGATGGAACAATCGATGCAAACCAAGTCCCCAGTTATAAGGAAGCAGCAGAGCACTTAAGCAGAGTATCTGGAAAGGGAGCATCACAGGGGCGTTTTGTAACTGATCCCCGGGCTGGAAGGAGCTGATCTCTTTCAGCAACTTTTCTTTTTATTTCTGGTTTGTTCTTCTCCTGTCAACCCACCTTCACATTAAAGATCAGTAGTACCGCTCATGCCCCTCCCTGCATAAAGGTTTGAATACAGAGATAAAAGGCCCTGGGAATGGTTGGTATCGCAAAGGTGGGGTAGGTGACGCCCTTCCCTCCTTCATTCTCCGATGAACCACAGGCGGTCCTGCAGCTCTCTGACCCTTTGTTCCCTCACTCTGAGAGAAGAGGCTTGGACTGACCCTCGGGAGCCTCCCAGCTCCAAAAATCTATGGTTCCTTTGGTAAAAGGTGCATTTATTAACTCAGCTCCAACCCTGGTTGTCATACTGGTGTTTCGCACACATGTCCTGCTGTGCGGTGACACTGACCAGTCTGTGAGCGTGTCACCTGGTCCCAGAGATAAGTGAGCAGTCTTTAGTCTGTCAAGAGGCTGGGGTCGAATTGTGACTTCTCTCTTAGAACTGCTCAGTGCCTTTGAGGGAAGATGTGTAACCACCCTCTTAGTGTACTCTGCTGGAAAATTTGAAAGTTGTTGGGGAAATGGTCGTTTATGCAGATGAAAATGCTTCTGGCTTTCGTTGGTTAGTTAACTCTCAGTTGTCTGTTCTTATCTAGGGAAACAGTTCTATGGAAAACCCAGAATTCATATATCTGGTGCCTGAAATGCACTCTGTAGTTGGTGTGTGTGTTGGGGGCGGGGTCACGAAGGAAGAAGGGAGCGCAGATTTTCCGTAATTTTCCTGGTGACAGCCAATATTAAAATTAGCTTTCAGTCTCTAAATAGACATTAATAGGGATCCAGAAGCAGCAGCGCAAAATGGGTAGCAAGCATAGAATTGAAAATGTTCAAATGTACAGAAAATTAGGCACACCACTTATCAGCGCATGGAGAGTTACTATATTATGAAAATTCAGGACCTGAGAAGTTCCACTGAAAGTCATCTATCACTTGTTTGGTGTATGTACCTATTTATAGATTTTATTTCAGTTATAGGAGAATATAAATGCATGTACTGTTAATTGATAGGGATGGTCTAATTACAAGCCAATAATTTCCAGATGAGTTGGCCTTGCTGTGAATCATAATCGTGGCAAGTGGTCACGGCACTGAGGGTGTGTCATGTAATTCAGAAATTGCTTTTGTACTATTGTATAAAAGCTACAGGGAAAGCAATCTTTTAATCACACATGATCACACACAGAAAATATGGTGCCTTTTAAGAAGGCTTGTCTCTTAAGCTTGTTAATCTCAAAATAGCATTGGACTGCAGATGCTGACATAGCCAGAGAATGATTTTGTTGGCAATGACTGTGCTTAATGTTGAACTTTGTCATCCAGGAAGGAAACCAAAGCACCAGAAAGTCTTCCCTCTAAATGGCCGTGTACCTCAAGTGCGGCGCAGAATTTCCTTTTCCTTTTCCTTTTCCTGTCTCCCCTGTATTCTTAAAACACTGCTTTTTCCTCCCTTTTCCTTTGTCTATTTTTGAATTTGAACACTTCTTTATTTTAAGCATTTACTACAGGCCCAATTTGTAAATGAAATCTCGCCTATAATAAGTATATCAAGTTTAAAGGGTATGCAGTTCACAGATTTATTTTTACATGTTGACATTTATAAGTACATGTGGTAACTTACGAAATCTTTTCAATACTTAATATGAAATTAGAACTTGTTTAGGTCTTTGTCACTGAAGACATTGGTTTCAAGCTTAGTTAAAAATAAATTCTGTCTGTTGTAGGAGGAAATCAGTTTCAAAAGACAGCTTACTTCTTAATAAAAGCATATAACTTACTTCTGGATAAAGAATTTTTTTAAATAAGAAAATATAAAATCACACAATTATGCATAGTGAAATCTGCACAGCAAAGTCTTTTGATTGCTAAAGTCTCCCATACTCTAGACTAGTAGAAACTTGCTTTTTTCTTTTTTAAAAAATGCAGAAAAGCATTTTAGGAAACACTTCTTGAGAATTATTTTCTTTTTAAAATATTTTATGTTAATTTTATTAAGATTGTGTTGCATTTTCTGTGTCACTGTACTTTTAGTCATTAGATTGATAAGTATTACAACATTAAGTATGAAAGAAAAGTTGATTTTTTTTTCCCTTTTGTGAAATCTAATTATTTTTTCTTATGAAATGCAGGCGATGTAGTTACAGGAAGCGATGCTCAGGTTTCTGTTCCTGTCCAGACTCTAACTGACCTCCCAGGTACAGTTACCATGGCAACGTAGTGTACATCCCTGCCTGCAGTATTGTCATCGCCGACTCCAAAGCTCCATTTTCCTTTCTGCCCACCCTCCATCCATGCTGTTTATCAGATCACTACCATTGTTCAGCCACTGGGTGGCACTGTTGTTTAGAACAAAATTCCCTTCTCATGTCATACCACGGTGATGCTAAGTCCTGATAAGATGTGGGGGTTTTTATGAAGTTTCCACCAGACTCTTTCCTTGCAAAATATGGTCACTCTATATTCTGTGGTCATTTTAACACCACACTTTATTTGGCAGCTCATGTTGGGGGGTTCTTTTCATTGCATAGGTGCTTTGTGACAGTATTTGACAAATCAGTTCTGAGATTAGACATTTTATATACCGTTTGTATGCATATTATTGTATGTGTGAGCCAGAGGTGCTTATTTTATTTTACCTAAAAGAATTACAACTTGATTTTGCAATATGTTTTTAACTACAGGTTTTGTATTATGAATCATACTAACAGAATTGAAGTCCAGTGTGACAAATCTCTATGTGGAGTAACTGGCAATGATTTAAAATAAGAAGATAATATTTTACTATCATAACCATTTGTTCAAAAGCTAGAAAAAGTTTCATTAAGAAATATAGAATAATAATAATCCATATTCAGCATCTCTTGTGAAATTTAGACACATAAATATTTTAAGTCAATGCACAAATCTTTTATTATGTAATCTTTAAGATAAACCAAGCCATGCAGAGAAATTCTGTATTAAATGGAAGCCTAGATTAACTTTAAAAATCCTCCACTGAAATTCAGCCTGAAAAAATAGCCGTATTAATTGAAATTCATATCTTGTTTTCCTTAATTTACAATATCCACACAGAATAGTCGTGCTAGTAGAATTAAATTTTGTTCTAATAGTAACATACCTCCATAATATCTGTGGTTTTTAATAAATTAACAGAAAATGATATATTGTGATCAGGAGATAAGGCGTGTGTTGGCTTCGCCTCTAAAAAAAACGTCCTGTGGCCGCAGAGGGGTGTGTCCGTATGTCTATATTTAGTCCTGTGTTTCACAGGTACAGTTCCTGGCTGTGTTCTGGTAATTGAGCCTGCTGACCTTTAGGGCTTTTCCAACTCGGGGATTCGGTGGAAAGCTGCTGTTTACTCTTCCTGGTGTGTGTTAAGTGATCTATGTAATTAGGGGTGTAGTAGGGGGGCCAGGAGAAGAGGCAGATCATCTCCAAATGACATCTCTTTCACTTTGTCAGTGATTGCACTTAAGTGAGTACTGATGGGAGCACTGATAACAGTGAGAATTCATGGGACTTAAACTTGTTTCCTAAAATTAAAATCTGAGCACCCCCCCGCCCCCCGACCCCACCCCCAGCCCAGGCAACTTTTTAGTAAGAGTTCTGTTATCCCAGAGCCAGAGTGCTGCTCATACATGTTGGGCTCTGGAAGCCCCATCAGTCTATACCTGGGGAAGGAGAAAGCTCAGGGCTGGCTTGCTTATTCTGACTTCTGCTCCTGGGCTGTTGCTCAGTCCACCTCTTTCTGCGGATCAGGGCCACGTGAACAACGTGACTTTTTAAACAGAATCTTGAAGAAGGAGGTTGTATTATTTTGTTCAGATAACTGGAGCTGTGCCAGTAGAATCATCTCCTTTGTTTATTTAACAAGCATTTCTTGGGGGCCCGGGCTAGGTGCCGGGATTGTCAGGCCCTCAGCCCCCTCCAGCTTCACCAGGCTGCTTGGGAGTCAGCTGGTGCTTAGACGAGCAGGCCGGCGCTGGTGGGAACCAGCTCTTTTTCCGGGTACCCTGTTCTGGATTCACTACCTGCCCTGCTCGGACAGGGGCCGTATTGATCTGATGGGGTGACTCCAGCTGCCTCCTAAGACACGAGGCCCACATAACAGCGGCCAACCTGTGATGAGACAGTGAGGTGGTGCCGCCCCGATCTAGAGAAGTCACATTGTGTTTTCCCCAGCACACTTCCTGCAGAGTGTCAGGAAGCAAGGGGAAGTAGCGTGAACCAGAATAGTCAGTGGTGCAACAGAGAACTTTCGAACAATCTCTGCTTCACACATAGGGCCAGTAATGTTAGTAGCTGGAGAGCTTTATCAGAGACGCCAGGCCCACTTAGCTTCCCCCATGTAATATATCAAGAGTAGATGTACTTTTCATTTCAGGGAACTAAAACTATCATTTCAACTCTCCCAAGTATCTTTTTTTAATCCATGGGGCACACTTCAAGAAATGAAGTAAATATCAGTATTTTCAATGATTCTTTGATTATATGTAGCCTTTTCTTCTCATGAGGTTTCATACCTGTATCTTTGCCTTTTAACACACAATAATTATATGGATCTTAATTTTTTGAAGAAAATCCTGCATCTAAAGTGAGATTTCAGAGTTTAGGTCAGTAAATAATTTTTGGAAAATCGTTGGAAAGCTCCATTTTCTATTTCTCAGTGTAGGTTGCAATCATAAAAAATGCACCACATGAGAGTTCATTTTTTGACAACTTAAAGAGTTTCTTCAAAATTATTTTTGGAAATTGCACATCTACCTCAGAAACTCTTTTTGAGAGATACCTAGAAATTTAGTCACAAACTTAACTTTAAGATATGGGGAGATACACACACATGAATACACAGGCATTACTGCCAAAGAGAATTTAGAATTTCCAACCACAGGCATATAGAGAGTATCATATAATGAGCTATAAGGAGAGAAGTTCAGATTGTGTAAGTTCTTGCCATTGCATTTAAAATTTATATTTGTGTGTGTATTTATGTTATGGATATGAATGCATATACATAAATGTACACACATAGATATCATTGTATAATATTTATCAGGTGGTTTTTTTAAAGAAAAAAGGTTGGAAAAGGCCACAAATCTCCCTGCCCACGTAGCCACTGTTGACATTCTTAAGTAAAATGAAAACGCATACACCATTAGACAATCACAATTCATTAAAGGCATTACCTGGGGAAAAAAGACCAGCTTCCTTTTCTCCAGCCCACTTCACGAAGGGTGCCCAGTGCTAAGTTTCTTACAATTACTTCTAAGAAAAAAAAACTTAGCCTGAGGAGTAACATGCGAATCCCAGTAGTGTGATGACAGCTGTGCCTGGAGATGCCCTCACTCTGGGCCCTGAAGCAGATGGTACTGACAGAAATGTTTCAGCGCGGGTGACAGGCAGCAACCTGGCAGAACCAAGACGAGGAAGAGCAGGACGTGGCCGTGAGGGGACAGGGGGCTGCTCGTCCACACAGGGCGGGGGAGGAGCGGGAGCGCCGGGAGGGTCTCCCTGTGGACGACCCTGTCCTGGTCACTCTGGGCGGTGGATAGTGGGCAAGGATAGTCCAAAGCAGAGCAGGTAGTTCCATTATGTTCTGAGCAATCCCTTTAAGAAGCCAGAGAAATGCAGAATATGTAAAACACATTTGGGGAGGCATCAGTCAGCTAGAAAATGCATCCTTTTTGGAACAAGTTCCAAAAGACATTGAATAAATGAGTTGGATTTGGGTTGCGAACAAGGTCGGAGTTTGCCCTCTGCCATCAGAAGACCTCATTCCACTTCTGCTGAATGTTGGTCACAGTGACGACAGCCCCTCCGGCACAGCTGCTGTTAGAGGCGCCGGGTGGGACCCCTTGCCCGGCACGGGCTCTGCGGGCTGGCCCACATTTGACTCCTGCCCGCACCACTGCCTTGCAGAGTGGCCCAGGGAGGCTGCTTAACCTCTTACCTGTAAAGAGAGAGAAAGGGCAGCTGCTTCAAGGGTGGCTTAGGAAGTCAGCAGAACACCTTTCCCAGAGTAAGGGCTGGCGGGACCCTCATGGCACTGAGCCCCTGGGACACAGGACTTTTATCAAACAGTTCAGAGAAAGGGAACAAGGGAAAGATTTCGTGCCCCCAGGCATGACCGTATCTAGTCCAGAGAGCACCTTCGTGCACATGAGCAGGTCCGTGCCCCTTCTGTGCCGGCATCTTCACACACAGAATGGGCTGGGTTGCAGCCGCCCCCGCCCCCGGCACTCTCAGTGTGGCGCATGCTGTGGTCCTGGGCTGAGAGCCAGTTGTCTGAAGTCCGTGGGCGGTCACTGAGCAGTGCAGCCAGCGTGAGGACAGTCCGGCCAGAGAGCGCCGGCAGGTCTGCAACCTTATCATCTCAGTGTGGACCAGCCGGGGGTGCCTTATTCAGCCATGCTCCTGTGACCCTTGTGCTCCTTTCCTGCTTAATCTCTGTAATAACTCACGCCGTCCCTGGCAAGAGAAAGGCCAGACCCCTTCGCAGGAGGACAAGGCGCTCTTCTGGATCTAGCTGGCCCGATGTTTAGAGCCCCCCCTCCCCGCCCTCCCCCAGAACTGGATTACCAAAAGGGGGGAAGGCTTACATGTAGGGTACCAGCAGTTGTTGGAAATAATTTACTTGATTCCCTTCTCTCCCCTTCCCTGAGAAAACCACTGAAATAATCATCAAATGAAAAAGAAGCCCTCTGGTGGACTGAAGCCTGTTTTACACTGGTATTGGGGTCGTTTTTAACTGCATATGGACGGCCGGAAGCACCAGAAGGTGTAGTCAGTCTTTGACCTACATGTTCCCAGCAGTCCAACTGCCTGGTAAATACTGTGTTCCCTGCCAAAAATGACCCTCCCTGAGTCACCATCCCCACCACCCACACTCCGGATTTTAACGTTAAGCTCACACCTCAGATTACCTGAGACAGGACTGGACCGTCTCTCTTTTGTGCTTCTGCAGGACTGCTGCTTATACTTCAGTGTTGCCTTTTATTCCCTGGACTGTCGACTAGTCAGTGCATCTACACTCCTGCATTTCCCTTGTGCTGCTGGTTTGAGAGCATCTCAGGAGCTCCTGTTGCAGTCTCTGCTCCCCCCATCCCCCATCCTCAGTGCAGGCAGTTTCTGTAGGCATTTCAGAGGGTCAGTCTGCACCAGGCATGTTCCCCAACGCTTGGTTATGAAGGAAGGA